AATATCGCTACGTTCACCAAAATAATTATCTCCTGGGGGGTCGCTTTTGCTTTGGGGTTTCTCTGATGGATATTGGGATTTCTGGCGGCTGTGTGATAGGATCTGCGATATCCTACTGGTGTCGTAAGCACACTTGCGGTACTGTACTCGAGGACGGTAGTGTGCTCGTGCGGTGCATCCGGGTGCCATACCGGCAGTGCACTCGATTACCAGTACCGGTATGCTCCCAGATTACTGACCACCACAAAAAAGCGACCGAATGCAGCCCCTGATGGCTCGCTCGTTACCGAGAGATTATCCTGTTAATTTGAAGCCCCCTAGCAGCTTACGGTACAGCACTAGCACGATACCCTGGATGTTGTGGTATCCCAGGTTGAGGGAAAGGATCGTGTTACTTGTGCTACAATCACTTGTACTCGAGTACGGTAGAACCAGTGCAGACCGGTAGCGGTATCACCCTCCCCATTCTGCCAAGTACCGGCGGTTTACCCAATACCGGTAGTAGCAAATCAAACCCTATTATCCGCCGCTGAGTTCCCCTCCCCCCGTCCGCCGACCAGCATTGTCCTGACGGAACCTACCATTCATCCCAGCGGCCTATTACCAAGACAAATAACCCCGCGGGCTACAAAGCTTCTCCAGTCCGGCGGCTGGATGGGTGCAAGTATTAATCCTCTAGATCCACTCGCAAGGACCAGCATCTTCTATTACTGCTCTAATCTCCCTGCCCAAACCCGGGTTGAAAAGTAAAGGATCCCTCCCACCCATACCCGATACAGTAACCGGGCACCGGGAATGCTCGTATAATGCAGGTGGGAGAGAATGGATACCGTAGCTCGTTTCCAAGTTCTGGCGGGGTACGTACGGCGCCCGGCTGAGCGGGGAGCGATAGGCTGTGGAGTATATTAGCGGATGGAGTGTAGGGATGCATCCCTGTGGGAAGCTTCGTTCACTCATGCCTTGTTTGAGGAGCGGGCAGGTGGATAGACTCGGGTCGGGGACAGTACGAGTAATGGAAGTATTGCTGGGAAAATTGGTCCGCTGAGGGAAGTAAGCTCGGTTTAGTAATTATGGAAAATACATCCGGCGAAAAGTAGCCGGGTTACGGTACAGTACCTCGTGGGTTTTTCGGAAACGGAGAGAGGCAGTGGTTTATGCAGGGCCCTCCACCGATTGGTACCGGAATACTGAATGCGTTCGAGTACTAGTAGACGGGCGTATCCTGGCGGGAGATATGCCAGCTATGATAGAACGCATAGCTCGGTCAACACCTGGACTTCGCAATCAAACACTACGTATCAGGATTCCCGGCTAACCGGAGCGAATTAAACTCCGCTGGGGTGAACAACCAACCGGAACCATCG